GGAGCATGTAATGAACCTAACTCTGTTGTGGTAACATTGGCTCCCTGTTTACACATTTCCCCTCCCAACTTTTTGCCTCAAACGTCTTTCTTCTTTTTTCTGACCATAGTGTTTTAACTAATTTTGTTATTGATTAGACTCTTGGCCACTTCTTGTGACCTTGTGTTTGTATCGATTTTTCCGTATGAGTTCAATCAGTATTTTCTCTTACGTGCTTCACGTTACGCAATGAAAGGCAGCAACTGAAGAGCTCTCTCGAAATGCCATGGATCCAATAAATCTTGCTGTTATTTCTATCTTTAACTTTGCGCCTGGGAAACGTTGCTTTAAATAATTTTGTTTTATTACTCCAATAGTATGCAGGAGCGGAGCGCGATATAAAATAGGAAAATAAGGCACCTGTAAAGGGGCGGAGCACAGTAAACCCAATTGTAGGGGTTGAATAAGGTTGGGTTTGGTAACACGGAATGTGGCAGTCGAAATTAGCCCTATCACTAAGCTTAACCCTAACCTCAACCCTATTCTATAACCTAATACTAACGTTAACCCTATATCTTAAGCAGTTTATTAAGCTCACTCAAGAACACAAACCTCATATAAAACGGTTATCAAAATTAAATAATTAGACAGTTTATGGTAACATAAACTGAGGACTCACATAGTACATCATCAGCCTTCCTTCTAGCAAGAGTAATGAATAATGGAAAAGTGCATTCGCAACGTCTCTGAGTAACGCAGCATAGTTCCCTGGCTGCTGGTTGGCGGCTTGAGACCACTGTCAATAGAGGACAGAGCTAGTTTTTCCTGAGAAGCTAAGCATATCAACGAGCGGCACCCATGACAATACGATCAAATAAGCGATCCACCACGCCAAAGAACAGCTCATGGGGAGACACAGGCCTCATTTGTGGATCATGCGCGTTATAACGCACATTGTTTTGTGTCCGCCCGCAGAGATTATGAGGCTAAGGAGGGAATGGGGGTTGCCAACAACCTGGAAGCGTCATCGGACCAGTCTTCGCCGTCTAGGGCAGTCCATGTCAGGTAATTCATGACTTTACC